GGTCGCTTCCTGAAGCAGAATCGCTTCAGAAACTTGTGAAATCGACGGGGTAACTAACGTTCGACGCAGGAAACCAGTCCGAAATACTGCGCCTGTCAACAACTTTAGCGGGTGCGCTGTGGAAACGCCAGGGTTTAGGATTTAGGGCTTGGGAGCTTAAAGTTTAGGGTTTAGGGCTTGGGACCTTAGGGCTTTGGGCTTGGGACCTTAGGGCTAAGGGTTTAGGGCTCGGGGCCTTCGGGTTTAGGGTTTAGGGCTTGGGACCTTAGGGTTTAGGGCTTGGGCCTTAGGGTTTAGGGTTTAAGGCTTGGGACTTTAGGGTTTAAGGCTTAGGGCTTGGGACCTTAGGGTTTAGGATTTAAGGCTTGGGTCTTTAAGGTTTAGGGTTTAGGGCTTGGGACCTTCAGTGTTTGGGTATTGCAGGGGCCGATCTGTTACGGCAGTGTTTGGGTAAGCTTTTAGTGTTTAGTTTGTTAGCGGTTACTAGATTACTTACGATGTTTCTTGTGATGTTCTATGTGAATATAAGTCGTTTGTGTAAAAGATCAATTTTTGTAAATGTGAATGGAGTCCAAGTGTATATGGAACTCGTTAGTGTAGATAAACGAACTTTGTATTTTCGAATGTTATGGGATTCACGGGTGGGTGGGTGTTATATCTAGACTGTGAATGTAACTTTATTGTAAAATTGCTGGATCCGGAGCTGCTGAACTCTAAACCCTAAACCCTAAACCCTCAACTCTAAACCCTAAACCGAGCCCCGAAACTTTTCAGCCCACGGAGGCCTCCAAAGTCTGACCGGGTTGAGGGTTTAGAGTTTAGGGGGGTTTAGCCTTTAGGGTTCAGGGTTCTATAAGGGTTTAGGGTTTAGGGTTCTATTAGGGTTTAGGGTTCAGGGTTTTATAAGGGTTTAGGGCCTAGGGGTTAGGCTTCCATTATAGGGTTTAGGGTTTAGGCTTCTATTAGAGTTTAGGGTTTGGGGGGGCTTAGGGTTTAGGGCTGAGGGTTCGGCAGGGGACTGAGTAACTAAGGCCAGAGTGGTAGCCTAGCTCTGCGTGCGTAGTGTTTCACTGCCGTAGGCTCTAGGCTCAAGGGTGACCATGAGGGTCGCTCTAGTTTTCCTAGGAGCCCTCATCCGCCCATTAGGAGGGTTATGGCCCTTCCTCTCGGGCGAGGAAAACACCGCATGCGACAAAGCAGGCACATGCCCCCGGGAGGGGGTTGAAGATGAACCTCCCCGTGGCTCGAGCTCGAGCCCGGGAGCGCATTATT